CACCAGAATGGAGGTGCTCAGACAGCAAGGGACCAATGAACAGATACCAAAAGAAAAGAATGCCCACACCTTTATCTCCGCAGTTCTACCAGGCATCTTTGACTGCTCTGATCCTTCCCCCGCTTGGTCTCACCCAAGATGGCGGCTCCTGAAGCAGCTGAGCATTCCGAACTAGAAAGCTATGGATATCTTGCTTCTGCCACAAATTCCCCAGCTGTAAGCCTTCCAGCCCTATAAATATTCCTTCATATGTGGTTCAGAGTTCTGGGCCCATCCCCTGAGTCTGCTTGGTCCTGTATTCTGTGTTGTTGCTGACAGAGCTCCCTATTGCATTTCCACTTGATCTGCCATCTTGTTTGTTCCCTTGTCATTTATTTTTATCCAACCTTTTCTTCCTTGGTTAGAGACATCAGTTTCAGCTATTGAACCAGTCCAGATTGCTCGTATCAAGACTAAGATGTCTAGCAAGTTCTTCCCTTCAGTCTACATCCATTCATGTTGGTTACACGGCCACAACACTAGTAGGCTGTCTTGACCACCATGCAGTATGGCACTATTCTCTGTAAACCTCAGTTTTGCTAGGTGGGGGAAAGATAGAGTCCTCCCCATCAGGCCCTTGGGAATTCGGGTGTACGTGTTCAGGGTGTACGTGTCATATCTGGTGTGTACATGTCATATCTCTTGCTTAGGGATCACCCCTGCTTCCAACAACACACAGCTGCATCCCTGGTCTTGGCAGTACAGCCTTTGGTGGGAAAACAGTAATTCTGATGATGTGGGGAAGAATTTACACCCTGGTGTCAATGTTTGGTTTCTGTCACCAGAGGGGAGCTGCTTGAAGCTTCTCAGGATAGAGTGGGTATTTGTTATTGCTAATCAGTTAAATGATCCTTTGTGTCCTTTCTTGTACAAATACCCTCTGAATCCACTCATTGTACTGTAAGAGATAAGTGATGTTGGACAGACACGAGGACTTTGCTGCAAGGACTGCAGTAGCATAGGAGGGTGGCAGCTTCCTCTCTCAGCCTCCATGCAGTGAACACACTCTGCACATTGTACTAACTAGGCTTCGTTTGTCCCTTCTGGATGCTCCTTCCACTCCTTCCTACTTTGGTCTATACTCTGATGTATATAGTGGCCTTCCTTGCCTTCTTACTTCTGGTTGACTCTGAATTGGGATGGAGTGGGGACAGAGGACCAGAGAACTGAAGGACACTGAGCAGTTGAGTGCTTATTCATACAGCTCTTTCCTTGCTATGCTGAAGGATAGCACTGGTTGGTTTCCTCTATTTAAGGCCCTAGCTCCAATCTGGCACCCTCTGTAACAATGTTCTGTATTCCAATAACCTTTCTCCTACCTTGTCCCTTCATACTTAGTATGTGAAATTCTCCATGATAGGCAGCCCCTTTATGCTTCACCAGACCTTCTTGTGAGCACCATTAAGCCTGTCCAATCCTTTGTAAATAATCTGCATGCTATTTGCATACACCATCTCTTTCTTAGGGTAACGTGATTACTACATGTAATTATAAACCCTTCCGATTGTACTTTTATTACTCAGTTCATTTTTCCATTCCCTGTCAATCTAAAGTATTTGTCATAATTGACCAGTAGGAATGAAGGGAGGTGGGTGGCCAGAAATACATTATTGTTCTTGTTATTTGCCATAGAGTGGACTCCAAGGATGGCAGATGCATGTGTTACAGATGAGAACTGCTCCAAGGCTTTAGGGATTGTCTGTATGGAAGCAGATCTCCAGGGCTTTGCCATAATACTGCTGAGTAGTTCAAATCAAACTATTTGGGCCACCTAGAAACCTTATTATTTATGAAAACTAGCATTGCATATGTAGAGCAATGGCTGGCAAACTGCCTTGAATCTGTTAGTAAAGTTTTATTGGAACACAGCCACTCTCACTCATTGACCTGCTATCTATGACTGGATTTTGCCCGGTCACAGTAGAGTGGAATACTTGCAACAGAGATCAAACATCTTACAAAGCCTTAAATATTTCTCATCTGGCCCATGTGTTGACCTGTGGTATAGAAGAAACACCCTGTCTAGCCTGAGTGTCAGAAGAGCTGAACTGAGCCCAGATCCACTCCTCATTGAGGGACCTTGGCCAAGTCACTTTTATCTCACCAAGTCTCCATTCTCTCACCTGTAGACTAATAATAATAACCCACACAGGTACTGTAAAAATTGAAGTTACAATTATTCACTGTTTTTTCAGTTGCTGTCATTTGAGGATGTGGCTTTGTTCTTCACCAGAGAGGAGTGGGAAAACCTTAACTGGGCCCAAAAGTACCTCTACAGAGATGTTATGCTGGAGAATTACAGAAGTATGATCTTCTTAGGTAATGACCTAGTCTTTAAAATATATATGTACTAAGTAACCTTCCTAAAATCTGCAAGAATTTTGAATTCTGAAATATATCTGTCCCTAGGGTTGTCCAATAATGGATTGTGGACATAGGTTGTAAATACTCAGACACACAAACCTACATGGTGACCTCTTCTATAGAGTTTTCAAGACTGTATGTTTTGTTCTGCTGTGCATAAGGTTGCTATGAGTCAGTACCGACTCGATGGCACCTAACAACAGTAAGATATCATTATGGGGACAAACAGCCTCATCTTTTTTCCTGCAGAGCAGCTTGTGGGTTTAAACCACCGACTTAGCAATTTTCAGTCCAATGCCTAGCCCACAGCACCACTGAGCGTATAAATATTTTTTTTATTTTAGAGTTCCAACACAATCTACTTTTTTCTCATGCCCACCTTCCACATCCATATCTGTTAGGCCTCTGTTGTACAACAGAATGAAGTACTACCTGATCCTGCACCATCCTCACAATTGTCATGTCTGAGCCCATTGTTGCTGCCACTGTGTCAGTCCATCTCATTGAGGATCTTCCTCTTTCGCTGAAACTCCATTTTTCCAAGGACTGGTCCTTCCTGACATGTCCAAAGTTCAAGAGACAATGTCTCGCCATCCTTGTTTCTAAGGAGGATTCTGGCTGTACTTCTTCTAAGACAGACTTGTTTGTGCTTCTGATAGTCCATGATACTTCTAAATATTCTTTCCCAACACTGTAATTCAAATGTATCAATTCTTCTATGGTCTTCCTATTCCTTGTCCAACTTTCACATATGAGGTGATTAAAAATACCATGGTCAGGTACTCCTTAGTCCTCAAAGTGACATCTTTGCTCTTTAACACTTTAAAAGAGGTCTTTTGCAGCAGATTTGCTTCAGGCAATATGTCGTTTGATTTCTTAACTACTGTGTCCTTGAGCATTGATTGTGAATCCAAGCAAAATGAAGTGTCTGACAACTTCAACCTTTTCTCCATTTATCATATCATTTGTTATTCTAATCATGAGGATTTTTGGTTTCTTTACATTGAGCTGCATTCCATACTGAAGGCTATACTCTTTATCAGTATTTCAAGTCCTCTTCACTTCCAGCTAGCAAGGTTGTGTCAAGGTTGTTAATGAATCCTCTTAAATCCTGATGCCACATTCTTCTTGTAATACAGTTTCTCAGATTAAACCTCTAGGAGAGGAAATGATATGGCCTATTTGGGTTCCAAGGAGTGCTGGTATGGCACTGTGGGCTAATGCATCAGGACTGCAAAATCTTTTGAACTGCAAGGTCGGTGGTTCAAGCTCACCATCTGCTCCTTGGAAACCTTATACAGGGTCACCCTGGGTGGGAATCAACTCCGTGGCACTTAACAACAACAACATTTGGGTTCCAAAGGTCAGTTTCTTCTCTTAAAAGTCTTTTTCTTTCTTTCTGGAATGATTAACTTCCTTGTTTGCAGCACCATTGTTATTGTTAAGTGCTGTTGAGTCGCTTCTGACCAATAGCAACCGTATTTCGGGTTTCAAAGGAGCAGCTCCAAGGGTTTGAACCCCTGGCCTTGCTATTCAAGCTGACCATAAGGTCTAGTGCTTATCCTGCAACACCACACCATTCCTAACTAACTTCATTTCTGATCCTTCACTACTTCCATCTTCCTAAGACCTGTATGTTTGCTTTGTTCCAATATAGTGTCCTACTATGGGAGATTCCCTGCCCTCTCTGAGGTGTTGTTGTTGTTGTTAGGTGTTACTGAGTTGGTACTGACTCATAGCGACCTATGCACAACAGAACAAAACACAGTCCGATCCTGGGGCAACCCCACAATTGTCATGCTTGAGCCCATTGAGGCTGTCACTTGGCCGTTCCATCTCACTGGGAGTCTTCCTCTTTTTCTCTGACCCTCCACCTACTAAACATGATATCCTTCTCCAATTACTGGTCCCTCCTGACAATATGTCCGAAGTATGAGAGACGAAGTTTGGCCATCCTGGCCTCCAAGGAGCAATCTGGCTGCACTTCTTCCAACACAGATCTGTTGGTTCATTTGGCAGCCCACCGCACTTTCAATATTCTCCTCCAACACCATAACTCAAAAGCATTAGTTTTTTTTACGGTCTTCCTTACTCACTATCCAGCTTTCGCATGCATGTGAGGTTATTGAAATACTATGGCTTAGTCCTCAAGCTGATATCTTTGCTCTTCAACACTTTAAAAAGGTCTTGTGCAGCAGATTTGCCTAATGCAATACAACCTTTCAACTGTCGACTGCTGCTTCCATGAGTGTTGATAGTTGATCCAAGAAGAATGAAGTCCTTGACAACTTCAATCTTTTCTCAGTTGATAAGAATGTTGTTTTTGGTCCAGTGGTGAGGATTTCTGTTTTCTTTACATTGAGATGCAATCCATACTGAAGGCTGTGGTCTTTGATCTTCATCAGTAGATATTTTAAGTCTTCTTCACTTTCAGCAAGCAAGGTTGTATCACCTGCATATTGTAGGTGGTTAATGAGTCTTCCTCCAATCCTGATGCCATGTTTTTCTTCATATAACCCAGCTTCTCAGATTATTTACTCAGCATACAGATTGAATAAGTATAGTGAAAGAATACAACCCTGTCACACACCTTTCTTAATTTTAAACCATTCAGTGTTCCCATGTTCTGTTCAAACAAATGCCTGTTGGTCCAGGTACAGATTCCTCATGAGCACAATTAAGTGTTCCAGAATATTCAGACTTCGCAATGTTGTCCTTAACTTGTCATGATCCACACAACCAAAAGCCTTTGCATAGTCAATAAAGCACAGGTGCGAGGTGTGGGGACAGATAATAATTTTCTTTTAGGGGTACATATTTGATACCCCACATTAATACCCTTAGCATAATTGTGACAGTCTCTGTTGTTTGGGGTTTTTTTGTTGGTTTTTTTTTTTTTTTTGGTAATGTTTATTTTCTTTTTAAAAGTATTGTTGCTATTGTTAAATGTCATCGAGTTGATTCTGACTCATAGTGACCCTATACAGGATTTCCGAGGAGCAGCTGGTGGGTTTGAACTGCTGACCTTGTGGTTCACAAGGTCAGTGCTGATCCTACAGTGCCAGACCAGTAATCGGGGCACAATTGTGGAAGGTACAGAAAATTATCAAGGAAAGGGAAAAACCTTCAGGAGTAATGCTTAATATTTTAAAGTGTTTTCTTCCAGACATTTTTCTTATGTTTTAAAAAAATATGTACTAGAGAAAGATGAGGGTGTCTGCTCCCAGAGAGATTTACAGCCTTGGAACCCCTATGAAGGGTCGTGGTGGGTTGGAACTAACTTGACAGCCTACAACAGAAAATGTATATGAGCATGTTCTTTATATATAATGTCATAGGTATTTATTTCTAAACTGAATATCATAGCACCAACATTTCCCTATGTTATTAAACTCCACCATAAATATAATAAATGATCATAATATAAACAAACATTTTCATTGTATGATACATAATTAGAATTTCATTATTTTCCCATTTGGGGATGTTTACAATGACACTTAACAGCAAGAACAACCTTAACTTTGGAGTCCTGGTGTGGCACTTCAGGTAAATGCACTGGACTGCAAAGGCAGTTTGAACCACAAGGTCCTTGACTTGGTTTTTATTGGTTGGTTTGCCTGTGTGTATCATTTTTTGTGTTAAAAATTGCCAAAGCATGTTTCTGACTATAAATCTCCATATTTCTTTCTAAAGGATAATTTGTACTTTAAGACTTTTAATATGTGAGGGCAAGACAAAAAATACTGCTATAAAATCACAAAAACTTTTCTTAAATAAAAATATCAAAATGTGAGTTTTTTCTGAAGTTGAGGTTTCTATCTCTTTGGCCTTCCCCGATTAATTCAGCACATCAAAATAGCAGTTTTGGCATCTTCAACTCAAATCATGTTCTTTGAGTTTGAGGCACAAAAATAAATTTGAATGAGACAAAATCAGGGCTCTAGGGTGGATGGGGGAAGGTTTCCCAACAAAATTCTAATAGGACTGCCCTTGCCACTAGCCTCAAAGGATGAACAGGTGCATTGCTGTGATGAGCAACTAAAATTCCTTAGCTCAACTTTCCTGACATTTTCTCACCAAGATAATCCATTTTCTTAAAACCTCTTCATAATAAGTCCCATGGATCCTTTGAGAAAATGTATTAAAATTATCCATTTGTAGTCCCAAGATACAGTTGCTATAACTTGTAAGCTAACCTCTCTCTGCCTTGATTTCAGCTGGCCCAGCAGATCTCTTTAGAAGCCACTGTTTTGAGTGGACCTTTTTTTTTTGAAGGCACCATAACAAGACTAAGACAAATATTATTACTGAGCAAACTTGCTTCCCACTCCCACTGACCACAGAGACATGTTTAAATATGTTGTATTTGGAATAAACTCAATACGTGTATAAGCTGGAACCCTAGTAGCAATACTTTTTTATTTGCCTTCATATATTACGGAACAACTTTTTAAGAAAATGTATACTGCTTTGTATGTTGAACAGCAGTACTTGATAGTGCTTTTGTATCACTGCACTCCTTTAGAGATTTTACTAGTTGCAAAATCAATCTATGTTCATAATAGAACTTTTAGAAAATGCACTATTGAATAAAGTAAAAAATAAAGCATCAGAAGGTCCATTGCCCAGAACTGGCCACCGTTAACGTTTTGCTTTACCTTTTCTAGTCTTTGCCTACATATGGGTTTTTAAAACAATAACAAAGTGCTATATATAAAGTTTTGCTTTCAAAGTACATTTATATAGGGAACGCGTTCCTATTCTAATATCTGCTTTCCTAGGTTTTATCATTCCCGTGTTGCCTTTTAGCTTGTTTCCAGTTTTGTGCTGTTGCAGCACTGTTGGCTGTCTGTGGTACATTAATCTTTGTCCTAGTTTTTCATTAGGCTGAATTTTAAGAGTGAAATTATCAGGTCCAAGGGCATGAATATTTTTAGACTTTGAAATAATTGCCGGAATTTTCACTAAAATTGTGCCAATAGTTCTGTTCTCACCAAGCCTTTTAAACACCTTCCTTTATCTCTCTGCTTACACTGTAGACCAAAGGGATTGAGACTGAGCTCCGGGACATCTCTCTGTAACTCACTAACTGCCACATCCCATTTACTTCCCCATGAGTAGGATTTCAGTTCCCCAAACCTGAGGTGATCTCTCAACTGGAGGACTGGGACGAGCCATGGATCCTGGATCTGCCTAGGACTTGGACTAGGATGACTTCTGGCACTGCTTCCCCAGGTGAGTGAGGAGGAGGTCCAGTCTAGTGGAAAGGAATGGAAGTCACATGAACGAGGCCTCTTCTGTGCACCAGAGACTGAGCCCTGTGCTTGGCATGTATCCCCCTTACTCACCTCTACTGCCATGTGGAAAGTCATAGTTCTGCGTATGATTTCCATTTTCTAGAGGAAGGAACTGAAAGATGAAAATAACTGTCTTAGGCTGACAAACTTGGATTGATTTCAAGGCCTTCCAAAGCTTCTCTTCCTGCTGCATGGCACTGTTCTCTGCAGGAGGTGCTCTAGGGTTTTTTAAATGGCATCCACCCCAGCAACCCTTCCTCCTACTCTCCCTGCTTACCGTTTACCACACTATCTCTCATTCTCTTATTTTCATTTGTTTTTCATATTCTCAAGTATTACTTAATGGACTTAACATTTTCCTGACTGCCCTGCAGCCCTTTTTCACATTTTCATACTTGAAGGTTTCTTAGCCTCAGCACTACTGACCTTTTGGGCTGGATTATTATTTATGTGAGTGGAGGCATGCTGTATGCATTGTATCTGTGGCCTTTACCCATTAGGTGCCTGTAGTACCATCTCTTTTCTTCAAAACTGTCTCCAGACATTGCTAGTAGCTCCTAGGGAGTAAAATTAACCATAGTTGAAAAATACAGCTCTATTCATTTGACTTGTGTATACTTATTCCCTCTCTGGTTCATATATTCTATTTTAAAGGCTTTTGTCCCCCCCACCTAGAATTATTACATACATAGGTATCTAGAAAGTATAAGATGTTGCCTCTCCTGTATTTATGTGACACTAATCATTCTTAATCAATATTCAGAGTACATTGTTTTTCCCATAATAGTGGTTGATTTGTTCTAGTCTCTCATTCTCTGGTGCACACTCATTTGCATTTTTCAGTCCATTGGTATAAAGAGCTCTTTCTGTTATGAAGGCAAACAGTAAATATTAATATTTTTGGCTTCTTTACTACAATGTTGTAACCAAGTGAGCACTTAAGAATTTCACTCTGTGCTCTTATCTCCCAAATGGTCAGCATCTTTTCCCTTTTTTTCATACTGTGGATACACATGTTATTTATACTTTTTCTTGTTGTTTAGGTTCTGAAGCCACGTACAACAAGATGAAAGACCTAACGTCAATGCAGAGAATTTCCAAAGAACTAGTATCAAATGAAGTATCAGTGGTTAAGCAAGAGAAGGCCAAGAAAATCCCTGAGAAGCTGTATGAATGTGGTGAATTTGTAGATAATTTCAGAGTTGCACTGTCTGTTAGTGGTGATGACTGTAAGAAGGGCTTCATCCAAAGCCTTACCTTTGTTGAAGACCAGAATGTTCAAACAAAGCCACAGGGCAAATATAACGAATATGGGAAATCCTTCAATCAAAGGTCTTTGCTTTTAAGGCATAAGCAAATTCTTACACAGCCAATATATTATGAATACAGTGAATGTGGAATAGTCAAAGATTTGGTTCAACATCAAAGAATTCATCCTTCAGAGAATCCTTGTGAGTGTAACATTTATGGACAATCTGTCAAACAGAAGTCAGCTCTTATGACAGTCCATAAGTACTGTCATCCGCCAAAAAAGCCATATAAATGTCATGACTGTGGAAAGTTTTTCCGTCAGATCTCTTATCTTGTGGAACATAAGAGGATTCACACCAAAGAAAAACCGTATAAATGTAGTGAATGTGAGAGAACATTTAGTCAGAAGTCAACCCTCATACGACATCAGGTAACCCATAGTGGAGAAAAGCTCCATAAATGCCTCGAATGTGGAAAAGCCTTCAGTAGGCACTCAACCCTTATGAGCCATCAACACATTCACACTAGACAGAACACCCATAGGTGTAGTGAATGTGGACAGTCCTTTGGTCGGAATATAGATCTTATTCAACATCAAAGAACCCATACCAAGGAGAAATTCTTTCAATGTAGAGAATGTGGGAAAACATTTAGTTTTAAGTCAAATCTTTGTCGACATGAGGTCATTCATACTGGAGAAAGACCTTATAGTTGTGACAAATGTGGAAAATCTTTCAGTTGGCACACAAGCCTTATTAAGCATCAGGGTACTCACAAAGGACAGATATCTACATGATATTAACAGAAAGAGCTGCTGTTTAGAGATCAGAACCTACGAGGGCAATTCAAAAAGTATTGCTATTACGGTTCCAGTTCATGCATACACTGGTTTAGTCCAAATAAGATGTGTTTAAATATGTTTTGCGATCAGTGGATAGCTGCAGACAAACTCTGGTCTTGTCATTGTGTGCCATTGAGTCAGTTCTGCCTCATGGTGACCCTCCAAGGAGTGGCTGGTAGGTTTGAACTGCCAACTTTTGCAGTTAGCAATCTAGTGCTTATCCTACAGCACCACACTAGGACTCATGAGGGTGCCTCAAGAAAAGGACCAGTCAAAAGAGTGGCTTATGAGGGGATTTGCATGGATGGTTAAATTCGTGGCAGAGGGAATCTTGACAGATTTTCTCAAGGGACACTAAATGATTACAAGGGCTTATTATGAAGACGTTTTAAGAAAATGGAAAACTGCATTCATGAGAAAAGGACCAGGAAAATTGCACCAAGAAATGAGCAACTACTTATTCTTCAAGGGTGGCAAGGTGAATTCTTTGAGAATCTTATTGGAAACCTTTACCCCATCTGCTCTACAGCCCTAATCTGACCCTTTTTCAGGTTTTTGTTCCCAGAACTCAAAAGAACATTGAAAACACAATTTTAGTCCCTTGATGACAAAACTTTTGTTAGGACCTGGTGTCAATCGAAGAGGACAGAATTCTTCAGGGGAGGGTCAGAGAGGTGGAAACACTACCTTCAGAAGTGTGTAAACTTAGATGGGAGGACTAGCTGCACATTCTGATAATGTATTTAATAAAGGTTTCTATCATTTTGTAGCAATACTTTATGACTTACCCTCATAATCTCTGCTGAGAGTATATATAGTTTGACTGTTTCCTGCAGTGTCATAAAAAGGAACTAGAATGGTGTTTCTGTAGGAATCTTCTGTGTGGTTACCTCTGACTACAATCAGTAGTTACTTTATAGAAAATGTAATAAGTACTGTATCCAGTCTTCCTTGAATTCCCTTGAGTCTAATTAAGGCAGAAGGGAAGCATAGTAGCTTTGTTACTAAAATTGAAGACTTTTTTTGATGGATCATGAGCAATATAAGAGCATGTTACTGTGGTTAACATACAAAAATATTGCATAGGCATTTAAAGTAAAGGCTTGTTAAACTTAGTGCCTTCAAATCTATTCCAACTCATAGCAACCTGTTATAGAATTTCCGAGGCTTTCTCCTGAAACGAAGGACTACTCAGTAGTAGTTAACATGGTTCCGTAAACTATAGTACGCTTCTGTGCCCTAAAAGTTCTCTGTATCTGTAGCCTTACCCCTTGTGTGTTTTCATCTGACTTGCAGTATCTATATCTTTACCTGTAGGCCTTTTCTAAAACCATGAAAGGCCATTACTGCTGGAATCTTAGGGTCAGCCCTCAACACACAGATAAATTTGAGTTTAAGTATGTGAATCTACCCCCTCCCCTGGTGTTGAAAATCTGTGCACCGTGTTCTATTGTTGTCGTTTCCCCATGAATTTACACATGCTCACCCACAGTGGAAGCTGCTTATTAGCTGTGTTTCGTTCTTTTTGTGTGTCTTCTCTACTTCAATTCACCCACCCCCAGACCCCTGGTACCTAATGTCCAACTTAGACACTTGCTTTGGTGGCATAGTGTGTTAAGCTTTGGGCTGCTAACTGAAAGATTGATTAGTGGTTTGAATCTACTCCATGGGAGACCTGCTCTTGTTATGTCTTGGGCATTTCTACTCTATCCTACTTGGTCCCCAGACTTGATGGCAGTGGGAGTCATAGTGAATCCATTATAGGGTTTCTGAGGCTTTTAAAAGATCTTTACAGAGGTAGAAATGTAAAGTTCTTTCTCCTGTGGAGCAGCTGGCAAGTTAAAACCATTGACCATGTGGTTCCTGGTTTGGAGCCACCTTGCTCCCCATTTGCTCTTTAATGTTATGTAAATTTGCCCTCACTTTGAAATGACTGAACTATCCCCTTCTTGCAACAAGTTCATCACAGTCACCTTCACTGTAGGTACATGCAACTTTTAAATGTGAAAAGCCTTTGACCCTTGCAAGAAAGTAAGGCTGTGTTAACACACCTACAGATTCTGCTCAGAGACATAGGAGCGAATCTCCAACATAACCTGGGCTTGCCTGTTAGGAGTGGCAGTCTTACATTCTAAATTAAACTGATTATATTACTCTCCCTACAGCTCCTGAAAAAAAGAAATCCATTTGAAATTAGTGCCTTAACCTGTTGCTACTTATTAGCTGCTGTCAAGTCAGCTCCAAATCTTGATTTTATGTGTAACAGTGGAAACACTGCCTGGTCCTGCACCCTATCTTCAGGGCCTTGGTGTTTGGGTCCACTGTCAGCCTACCTCATGGAATTTCCCGCATTCTGATTTACCTTCTACCAAATATGCCCTTTTCTAAAGATTGGTCTTTCCTGATGATGATAGATACCATCTAATTGGTTCTGACTTATAGTGGTTCCATGCACAACAACACTGCCCAGTCCGCCATCCTCAAAATTGTTTTGCTTGAGCCCATTGCTGCTACCGCCACTATGTCAAGTCATATTGTTGGGGCAGGGGACGCGATGGGAGGGAAGGAGTCACAGACTGGTCCTTCCTGATAAACATTCTCCAACACCGTAATTCAAATGCATCAATTCTTCTACAGTCTTCATTGTCCAACTTTCACATGATTATGAAGTGACTGAAAATACCATAGCTTGGGTCAGACACACCTTGATGTGTCTAAAATAAACACCCTTCTAAGGAACATTCTGGTTGTATTTCTACTAAAACTGGCATGTTCAGATTTTTGGTAGTTCACAGAGTGATATTCTTTCTTTACCAATACCACAGTTGAAGCACATCAATTCTGTCTTCCTATTCCTTTATGTATGCACATGTGTATGAAGCAATTGAAAAGACCATGTCTTGAGTTAGGTACACTTTAGTCATCAAAGTGACATCTTTGCTTCTGAAAACTTGAAAGAAGTCTTTCGTAACAGATTTACCCAAGTACATCATTTCACTTCTTGCTGCCTGTGTCCCTGGGCATTGATAGTTAATCCAAGTAAAATGTTAGCAACTTCAGTTCTCTGCTTATGTAAATTAGTCCAGTTGTGGAGAGTTTGCTTTCATGTTCAGTTGTAATATATTCTGAAGGCTGTAGTTTTTTTTCATTAGTAAGTCATCTCAGTTTTGTCATCTTCAACTCCTTGTGTCACATTCTTCATATAGTCAGCTTCATGGGTTATTTGTTCAGCATACAGCTTGAATAATGTGAAAGGATAACACCATGCCACTTTTCCAGTCTTGAATGATGCTGTTGGCCTTTACCCTTTTCAAATGACTGCTGCTTGATTCATGTACAGGTTCACGTCCTGAAATTCTGGTTCCTCATAATGTTCTCTGTAATTCGTTATGATCAACTTACTCTGTTGCCATTGTTTAGATCTTCCAAGTCCCTTCTAGATCCCTTGATTTGATTTTCTTGCTCCTACCAATTCATGATCAATGCAGTCCTCTGCATTTAATCAGTGTGTGTATGTGTGTGTGTGTGTATATGTACACACATATAATATGGAGTCCTCGTGTGGCGTTGTGGGTTAATGCACTGGACTGCAAAGCCAGTTTGAACTGCAAGATCGACAGTTCAAGCTCACCAGCCACTCCTTGGAAGCCCTATACAGGATCGCTATGGGTCAGAACCAACTTGATGGCACTTAACAACATACACTATGTAAATATGTACATACTTTTAAATTACTATTGAGAATGAAAAGAAAACAAAGCAAGTGGCAACCTGTATAATTGAATCTTATTTCTGACAGGAGAATTAGGGTCAGATTGTTTATTGGATTCAAAATAGGTAATCAGTATTTTTGTACTGGCTTGCGTGAATTGAGCCTGGTGCAACACTGTAGGATAAGCACTGGACTGCTAACACAAGGTCAGCAACTCAAACCCACCAGCCATTTTCAGAAACCCTATACAGGGTCACTGTGAGCCAGAACTGATACTCAGGTACACAGCAACAGCATGAATGGACTAGAAGAAAGCCTTGTCATACTACTTTTCCTTAAACAGTATTTTCTGCATAGAAGAAAATGAGTGTGAGAAATAAACTCACTTAATGGGATATGATGTGGTGAGCTGTGAAAAACAAGTCTGAGTCACAGAAGTCTGAGCAAGGCTATAAAATCTGTTGAGATGATGCCTAAGCCTCCAGCTCTCTAGAAAGACAGAGGCACAAGTTATGAACCTGAAATAGCATGAGACACAATTACTATCAGTCACGGCTGCCATGAGAGTAGAGCCGAGCTGTTCAAGATGATGGTCTCCAGCCAGAAGAGACTACAAGTTCTTCAGTCAAAAACTAAATTTCAAGGATCAGCACAAAAGTTCCTATCATCACAGAAAGGTCTATTGGATAGCATTGGTAGAGAGACCCTTAAGGAGTTTCTATTGAGAAATGGGTAAAAAAATATATTTGGTGTCACTTATTTACAATTAAATAAACTTGTCATTTTATAAATGGCACCCCCACTCCCCCCATGAAACAATTCACAAAAGTATTTGCTTCAGTAGATTCTTAGGATACGAAGAGGAGGAATGGTCAATGTAGGTGGGTATGAAAGATTTGGCTGAAATGATTTTGCAGAAAAGGTCTCAGCACCACCAATACTCATAAGGAGCCCCTACCTCAAGAGTGCCAGGTTAGGCTTGCCACCTTCTCTAAGAGGCGAAACAGATGGCAAGCCAAGAGCTCAGATGAGCAATGTTACAAGTTTATGTATTGTTAACATTTGGCAGAATGACAAGTGCTCCAAACTAACCCTAGAAGGCAGTGGGGAGAAGATGCACAAAATTTTGGCTTTCCTGAAGGAGTATGAGGTCAGAGGATATCTGCTTCCAGTAATTGTCATTTGTTAATGGACTAGACCTGTTATTGTCCTCTGTGCCTGGAAAGACATTAGTCATTAGCTC